GTCATAATAAAGGCAGACTTTTGCCTTTGCCCTGAGGAGGAAACAAATTGTGAGACTCTTGACTTCCAACCAATCGAATCCATTAACACAGTTTTGTTCTGAGGACATACTAAAGAGATCAGAGGTAAAAGAAAAATGATTGAAACAGAGGGAAACCTTTATCAGTTACACCAAAAAAACAAGAGTTGTAAAATTGGCCCACTTTACCTCCAAAATAAGTAGAAGGATAAAAATTAAAGTATGTATCCAAAAGATAATGAATTCCAGATTTTTTTTTTAATTTTCTTACTTTGTTGTTATGAACTGGTCTAAGCTAATTTGATTATGGAAATTTATAAGGTTCTTTTTTTGTATATTTTGAAAACCAGGAATAGTCCAAAGTAAGTAAATATGAACTATACCCCATAACTTGCTACCATGTTTATCATAATATGTTTATAATAGTATGTAATAGAATAGTAATTTAATAGTATATTTAAAAAATCACAAAATAGCCACATAGTCATATAAGTACTGTGTCCTTGCCTTGTTTGAAGTCTTGAAAAAAATATTTACATGAAGAATATAAGGTAAATGGGCTACTATTCTAGTAGCATAATTTAGCTAACCTTCTGTCAAATTAGATGACCAAGAGCCCTCTAACCCAATAGACACAGAATGGTTAAGGACAAGTCCACTTTGCCATTTCTAAAGATTTGACAAAGATCCATGGACTTTTATGTCTTGTTTGTGTAAAAATGGAGATGAGTCTACTGAGTGTCAGTGAATACATTTATATAGAATAAACTGATTTCACCAATTCCAATTATGGTACATTTTATTTTTTATTAGTACATGTTTTCATTTTATTTTAATTCTTTTTTCCATCATTTTTCTTCCCCTTCCTCCCCCCTCAATCTCGTTCCCACATTTATTTGAAAAATATCTCTGTACTTCCTATTATTTACTTATATATTTTTTTTCAGGTTTCTCATATAAGAGAAATCATACTATAAGCTGGTGTGTCTGATTTATTTCACTTAACATTATGTTGTCAAGGTGCATATATTTACTCATGAAAACTTCATGTTTATCTTTCATTATAGCAGAGTAATACTTCATGGTATACATCACATTTTCTTTAACCATTCATCTGTTGATAGATATTAGCTGTTATAAATTGTGCTGGTATAAACCTGAGTATGTATGTGCCCTTATAATATGATGACATTAAAGTAACTCTTCCAAAAAGATACTTAGAAGGGGGAATAGCTGGCTCAAATGGAATTTCTATTTTTTGAGGAATTTCCATGCTGATTTCCATAGTCTTTATTTTAGTTTACATTCCCACCCACAATGTAAAAGAATTCCTTTTCCCCCACACCTTCACCAGCCTTTATTATTATTTGATTTCTTGATGGTAGCCATTCTGTCTGCATTAGGATGGAATCTCAGTGTTGTTTTATTTGCCTTTCTCTGATGGCTTGCTGGGCAACCAAAATGTATAGTTCATTTTATTTGACTTTATAATCCATCTATTTTACCTGTGAAAGCTCATTTCTCCTTTAGGTTCAATAACACCACCAACAACAACAACAAATAGTAAAGGGTCATATCTTGATGAAAGCTAAAGAGAGTCAAAGTATTTTTAATAGCTACCACTGTGGTCTTCATTTGGAAAAAAAATACTTAGTGACCACTAATAGTATAAGATTTCCTGATTAGACAAATGTTTGCATCCAGAGTATGACTTAAATGGTACTTTGAAGTATTTATGGTGGACTACTTTAAAGTTAGTTATAGATATCATAATTATTTTGGAAGGAATGTAAGGTAATGTTGTTTCATTGTTCCTTTATATCCTACTTTAAAATTCTTAAGAATTCATCAAATTCAATACAAGATTTAATCTTGATAATAAATCATCATATTTCTAGGTAATGTATTTGTCTTGAAAATAAGGACATGCACATAACTTCAAACTTTACTTTCATAGGATTCTACTATAATTCCTTGCCCATGTTATTCCCTGTGGTGATGAGTATCTACTAACAGACACACATACAAAATAAATCTTCAAACACTACTTGTGAGAAATACTATTTTTCTAAATTTATAAACAAAACTTCAACCTGCTTTTATTGTCTCAAAATCAGACCAGTATCTGATTCCTTTAACTCCAGGCATAAGAGAATATAAATGCCATAGCATGTTTATATGTGAAGTATGTTTATATGTGCTGAGGTCAGGAGGGATGGAGGCATGAAGTAGGGAAAAGAGGTCTTAATGGAATCCTGCTCTAGGCTTTCCCTGACAATATTTCATTGCTTCTATTAGTTTTTCTGCTTAACTGCCGTTCAAGTTGTGCCTGAGGATTTTCAAACTGCAGAGTGGTTGTTAAAGGACAAATACTAAAGTGTTTCATGGGAATAACTAGTTGAAGTTGACCAAGATTAAAAAGTAATTTGTAAAGCTATTTTCTTCTACATAGAGCTTTTAAGTGTTAGACTATCATGCCACTACAAAAGAATTATCTTAAATGAGGTAATATGCTGTATTGCACTGTACAGGCCATAAGCAATTATGGAAGGATATACTGTTTTCACTTGTATTAATAAGGCTGGGCAGAATATAAAGAAATAAAATCTTGGAGTACATAACAACTCCTGAGGCAAATTGAAAGAAATTATGAAAGAATTCATTGTATTATTGAAACAAACCAAAATGAAATGCATTGTGACAACATGATATAAGTCAGGATAATATCACATCTTAATAACCAGTGCAGAACAGTAGAGAGACTTCTCCATTGATTTACTGTGTAGAAAATGTGACATGACAGAAGGCCCTTCAGCAGCCACGTCTTTACACACTAGTATAGTTCGTTATGTTTTCCTTTCAAGCATGTGACTGAGAAATCATCTGGATCACAGCAGACAGAAGCTGAAGAAGTTTGGCCAACAAGTCTTCTTACCCAGCTCTGTTCCACTGAGTTAATGCTCTGATCCTCTACTACCCAGAAATAAAATCTCAACACCAATTTTTCACTTTGCCATATAAACCTAGAGCTAATTACCATGGTGCCAAAACAAGGCTGCAGAAAGTATAATCTATTAGCAATAACTTGTGTCTAACAATATAATTGCATTGGGAATAATGAAATGTTCATTTTAGTACCAAAATTAATAATGTCATATCAATGGCATTAATAATTAAGGATTCTTTTTATAACATCACATCATTAGTAACAACTGCATTATGAACAATTCTATTAATATAAATAACAATACAAATAATATCACATTGCCTTTCTATAGTTACAATTTTGCAACTGTAATGAAATACTGTAAACATAATGGACAAGACCCTGCTGTGTCCAAGGTAAGGAGTTCTGCAAATATATTATTCTTTTAGATAAGTAAGTTTCTTTTTGTTTTCCTAGCTAGAAACCTCTTGAGAAAAAAGTCATCATTAAATATTTAGAAGGCACATGGAAATTTTGCTTAACATTTTTCAATTGTATGTTTATGAGGAAATGTTCAGATTGGAACAGTGCCTAGGAGTTTTCATTGTATTGGTTCTTAAGTTTTCTATTAGAATACTTTTTCACTTGGGATAGGTGTGACTTTTTTCTTTGTAATTTAAGCATGTGTTACATATAACATATTAATGCCTTAACATTACATAACATTTTATAGTCCATCTCCTTAACTTCTTGAGGAACTAAATCTCAGTCGTTCATTATAGATATTTTTCTCTTTATATGAGATTTCTCTATCCCAGCACTGTATTCTAACACATAATGATAGCTCTGGATCAGGTACAAGCACATAGCAGGTACAGGTCAAACCTGGATCATAGCTTGCTTTTCAAAAAATAATTTTCACTGGAACACAGCCATATCATTTTGTTTACACATAATTTATGGATGCTTTCCTCCTACAACAACAGAGATGCAGAGATTATGTGGTTTACAAGTTTACTTATTTACTACCTAGCCCTTTGCAAAAAAAGCTATATTGACTCCTAGTTAGTAGGCAGAAAATATTTCAAACATTTCCAAAACCCAGATAAGGAAGATAAAACGAGAGAAAAAAGGAATTAATAAAATATCCACAATCATACTCATGTTTATATTGTTATGTTCTTGTTTGAATGAGAATATATATATATATATATATAAATTTTTTTAGGCAGGGTCTTCCTCTGCAGTTTAGGCTGGTCATTACCTCACTATGCAGCCTAGGATGGCCTTGAACTCATGGTAATTCTCTTCCCTCAGTCTCCTGAGTACTGGGATTACAAGTATGTCCCACCACACCTGGCTAAATCTGTAATATTAAATTTAAGACTGGATGCTGAGAAAGATTTCAATAAATCCTTGTTGGGACAACAAAAAAGTACAAGTTTTATTTTATTATTATTCATGAAAGACATATCAAAACAATAATAACAATATTTTTCTTGAAAATATTGTTTTCTGTATTTTCCATCATCATTAGCATTAAACTTTGTTTATAAAATATTTTCTTCAGTGAAGTTCTAACTTTGAATTGTGAAAAATTTCTAAATCAAACATTTGTAGACAGAAAAGTTAATAAACTCTTTTACTACCCTTCATTAAGTTTCAATTTATGGCCAATTTTATTTCACCTGTATTCTGCATTGTACTAAACCTGTTTCCTCTCAGTTATTTTGATACAAATCATACGTATTAATTTTTAAACACTTCAGGAAGTAGACCTAAAAAGATATTTTTATTTACTATAACTCTAATACCATCGCTATATATAAAATTCACAGTAATTCCTTAATATTTAGTATGTACAGCTTCTGTCCAAAGTTCAAGTTGCCCTATAAATAATGCTACAGTTAACTGTTTAAGTCAGTGCTCAAATGCTATACATTTACAGAGTTTTTCATCTAGTTTTGGGTTTCTCAAGGCAAGTTCTTTTCTTGATTTTTTAAATTTACAATATTTTAGCATTTACTAATCACAGGGGAATAGAAGAGGGCAATACCAGACAATGCAAAAGTCCTGGGAATGAAGAGTAGAAAACTCAGGTGTGGTATGATGATCTTCTCAGGCATGCAGCTCTCTACCTCAGACAGCCTGTGCATACTCACTCCTGCAAAGTAAAAAGACAGGACATATATTGTTCTCAATTTTCCTTCTTGCAAACAGCTTAAAATCATCCCTAATGGGCATCAGCTGATTCCCAGGAAACAAGGAGGAATTATCAACAAGCGTTCTGTGGTACCTGGGATGCTCTTCCTTGTACACATTCCCTCCCAACTCTTCAAATGTATGTGGGTGACTGACTTGGCCCTTGGCCACTCCTAAAGTTTTATAGGAAACAGAAACTCACAAGTCAAAAAGCTACATAAATGAGGTAGATAAATACCTTGAAAATAAATCAGGACAACAAAGGAGACAGTCTTTTGAAGCAGAAATAGAAAAATAGACCAATAATGTAAAAGAAGCACTTTTACTTATTTTAAGAGCCTAAATACTATTTTCCATAGAATCTGTACCATTTTACATTCCCACAGAGAGTGTACAAAAGTTCCAATTTCTTCATATCCTTTCAAATGCTTTTCTATTTTAAAAAATAATAGACATTCTAATGTGTGATATTTTGTTGTGATTTGACTTGTGTTCCTGAAGTATTACTGATATTGTGTACTTTTTCTTATACCTGTTGGCCATTTGAATGTTTTCTTTGTAGAAATGTTTCTTCAAGTTCTTAATCTGCTTTTTAATTGCATAATTCATTTTTAACTATTGAATTGTAATAATTTCTTCTGTATTTTATAAACTGACCACTTATCAGATACATGATTTGCAAGTATTTTCTTCATTCTGTATATTGTCTTTTCACTCTGCTGATTATTGCCTTTGTGATACACAAAGTTTTAATTTGTATAGTTCCACTTGTCTATCTTTGCTTTTGTTTCCCATGCTTTAAATGTCATCTCTATGAAATTAATCTCAGATCAATGTCACAAACCTTTTTCTTATTTTTTCTTTTAAAATTCTTGTGTTGAAATTTATAAACCACTTTATGTTGATTTTCTTAGAAAAGAATCCAATTAGGGGCCGGGGATTTAGCTCAGTGGTTTCGCCGCCTGCTGCGCAAGCTCAAGGACCCAAGTTCAATCCCTGGTACCAAAAAAACAAAAAAGAAAAGAATCCAATTAAACTCTTTCAGATGTAGATATCCAGTTTTCTCAACCCTATATGTCAAAGAGTTTATTTCTTCCTCAGTGTGTGTATTCTTCGCATCCTGTTCAAAATCAGTTGACTATACATGTATAGGTTCATTTCTGGTCTCTACTCTATTTCATTGGTCAATAGATCTATCCTATGCAACTACCATACCCTTTTAATTATTTAAAATTTGTAATATATTTTAAACTCATGAAGTGAGATTCTTCCAGATTTTTCAAGATTTTTTTTGGCTATTCAGGGTCTTTAGTATTTCCAAATGAGTTTTAGAATTTTTTTCTATTTCACTAAATTCCATTGGGATTTTGATAGAGTGTTTAAGCCACTCAGCTTACACTTTTCTACTATTCTGGCATAAATTAAGATATGCCATAAGAAAATATTATATCTGCACAAAATGAATAAACACAAATTAAAGTTTACAAAAGAGAACGCATTTAAATGTTTATCCATGGAAGAGATTGGCAGTGAGAAATGGGATAAAAGAAACTGAGTGAGTGAATGAATGATTGAAACAAGAAAGAACATCATGTAAACCAATGTAGGGGGAATTATAGGTAATTGTGATTAATTACACCTTGTTCACTTAAAGAAAATAAACACATGGATTAAATGAAAGGATGATAAATAAATCCCCACATATTTCTTTTCTTTAAATATCAAACTAGGTGTTCCCTGAATCTCTGCTTTTCAAATGTACTTGTGTTGGGATTTACTTGTCGTATGTGAATGTCTAATATGGTAAGTCTTCTGAATGTCACCTAAGTTGTTTGTGATCATATAAAAGTTTGATGAGTGAATGCTTGGAAAAACAACAAAAAACCCCAAACTAACATGTTCTCTGCCTCAAGAAAATGAATAGAGTGGCTCTCAATGTCTTATGATGATGAAGAATGCTTAAAAACACAGCTAGTTTCTACATAAAAGTGAAGTTTATTGCTAGAGCTAAAAGGCACTGATATTTTGACTCCATAAAACACATTATATAGAGTTTTTCAAGAATCTGAGTGATTTTGCTTTACTGTTGCAAACCATGAAAAGCAAACTGCTGTAAGTATGTGTGGTGCTTCTGCAGGTAAATGTTCTTAGAATATTGTATTTTTACTGGGAGGTGAAGGACTGAATTCTAATCTCAGTGATTCTGGGAAAGTCATTTTTAATTTTGTCCTGGTTTTTCCACCTGCTAAGAAATTCTGACAATGGCATTTGAGATGGAACAAATTCATTTTTATAGGATGAGTCTGTTTTGTAAAGGAAGGCTGCCACAGGAGAGTTTTGGTCTATAAATCTGTGTAATATGATTTACCAATCAGAACAATGCAAAATGTGAGCTAAGGGGTTCACACATGTCTCCTTTACTGAGCAATGTCTTTTGAAAAGGTTGTATGTGAAATCAGCAAAATGGGTCCGTCAGATAGCTGTCACTTAGGTAAAGTCAGCTAGAGGCCAAGCATGGTGGAACTGTTGGAGAAGGAAGTAACTGCGTGTATATTTGCCCTCTATAGTTGGAAGGGCAGAGTAGTAAAACTAGTCAGTAAGATTCTTTTTTTTTCTTTTTGGTACCAAGGATCAAACTTGGGACCTTGTGCTTGCACAGCAGGCGCTGGAACCACTGAGCGAAATCCCTGGCCCCAATAAAACTAGTCAGTATGTACAGTTAGAAGTACTTAAGCTACAATCTTGACTCTTCTTCTGTGGGCACTTTGGCCTCTTTTTCTATCTCTAAGATGAGGTTAATGGTACCTACCTGAAAAGCTTATTGTACCATATTTTAAAAAGATAAAACATATCAAAAAATTAGAGCAGAGTTACCTTTTCAATTACCTGATCATGCAGTTTTCTTTTCAAGACAAAAAGGTACAGCAGTCTCCAGTCTAGTTTTTATCTTATATCATAAGGGTCTAGAAATAACTTCTAGAATTAATTTCAGAACCTAATATTTCTGCTTCCTTCACAGTCATTTTCACTTCCAAATAAGTTAAGTTCGGGAGCATTGTCTACAGAATAAGAGCAGTTAAAGGAAGATGGTGATGAATTTTCACCTGATTTCCGTATCTTCTCTTCCAGTCAAGCACCTCCCTGTTCTGTTCATGTCTTGAATGCCTGACATCTTAACACCTCAACTTCCTTATTCCATTCTGTATGCTGCTCTTGCCCCTATCAGCACCTGCCATTTCTTCCTTATTCTTAGATTCTCCTGTATTCTGGTCAGCAGAAGATTTTATTCCTAGAATTGGCTTTTGGTATTCCACCTGTTTGATGTTAGAGCATGCTAGTGACCCATCTCCTTAAGAACTTGATATTTATTCCAAATATGTGTAATTCACCTACCAGAAGACTCATTTAAGGGAAGAAGATCTTCCCTGGAAAAGAAAGATATGAAATTCTGGCTATTTTACTAACTGTTGTAAAAATACAAGTAACAAAACAGGGAATAATTATATTTTATTGGCCTGTAAGTTGCAGTCTGTTTGTAAAAGCCTGGTTTGATTGTGCCTAATGACTTTTTTTTATAAGTCTAATAGAGCTAATTTATCTACTTGGCTTAATTTTTTAAAGATAAGGAAGAAGTTGAATAAAAGTGAAATGTATACTTAATCTACATTTACAAAATGGTTGATATGGATTAAATAGACACATATCAGGTGATAAAATATAGTACTATTTGAACAAAATATATTAGCATGAACTTACATTCTTGATGGAGGGAAGGTCATCTATAGTAAAACACAGAAGAAGAAATTGTGAATACATGGAGAAATCTAGATATTTGAGAGACCATTGGCAAAATACATGATATATATAGTTATATCTATATAAAGATGTATCTATCTATATATCTATATATACATATCAAAGGAGAAATATGAAAAGAGGTAACCACTTAATACATTTAAGATATAAAAATGGGAAACTTACACAACCAATTCAAAGAAAATAAATACTAACATTGGTCAATAAAAACAGTTATTAATCTTTGTTCATGATATACTTTCTCAGTTTCCACTACTTGTGAACAACTATGAGCTAAAGGTGTTAAATGAAATATTCCAAAAATAAGCAATATATAAGCTTGCAATCACATGTCATTCTGAGTAGTGTGATGAAATCTCACATTATTCCACTCCATCCTGTCCAGGATATTAGCCATCCCTTTGTCCAATGTATCCACACTGTATTGCTACCCACCTATTAATCACTTAGTAGTCATTTTAGCAATCACATTACTGTCAGGTATCACAGTGCTTGTGTTCAAATAACCCTAATGTACTTGCCTGAATACATTTCATTACATAGTCATTATACCATGTCACATCATCATCATCATCATCATCAAGCAAAGAAGAACAAGGAAAATAGTGCAACAAAATTTGTTTAGAGGTAGAGATAGAAGGTTAACCTCACTCTTATCCCAGCATATTTTTTGTAATCCTTCTAAAGTATTATTAATTATTGTTAATTTCTAACTGTACCTAACTTAGAACTTAAACTTTATATAAGTACATATGGGTAGAAAAAAACATAATATATGTAGGTTCGGGGCTATTCATGGTTGCAGGAATCCACAGGAGGGTTTAAGACTGTATTGCCCTTGAATAATGGGGGATTAGTACAAAATGATCTTCGCCCACATGAGTACTCAAGAAAACAATTTCATTGTTACTAATTACAAAAGCAAAACTTAAAAAGATTGATAATATCCAGGGATGGAAAAGGCATGAGGAAAATGTGTCCTTTTATACCCTACAGGCCTCTGGGGAGCACATTTGGCAATATCTATCCAAATTCCACTTTCAGATACATATTTTAGAGAAATCCTTACACATAAATGTATGATCATCTATAGGAAATTAACAAATAACATAATATAGCATTAACCTGGAAAATTAGGCAATAGGCAAGAATGATGAGAATATATGCTTGTTCATGTAGAAAATTCTTCAACACAGGTGTTAAGTAGAAAACAAAACAAAACATATTTCAGAATAGACATGCTGTTTTAATTTAAGCAAAATTAGAGTTAGAAGCTAATATTTTTTCTTTTAAGTCCATAGAAATATACTTATAGAAAATTAAAGGTGTGAATGACTATGAAAGCACTGAGAAGGAAAAGAATGGCAGAAAGCAGTCAAGGAAAGCATTACTAATTAAAGTATATTCTTAGTTTCTTTCATAAATAAAGAGGAAATTACATAAAATAATAAAATAAGACAGGATGTATGTCAAACAAAAACTTACCAACTTCAAATTAAAGCCCAATTTTCAAAAGGTAAATGAGTCTTCTATATGTTTAGATGTTTGTAACACTTGCAGTAAAAATCAAGTCCTGACTCTAATGAAACGTGTTTTTAAAAGAATGAGAGGAATGTGTTGGGATATGGAGAATTTTCATTGTGTTTTAAAGTTAAATGAACATTATACAAAGAGCACTATATAGTAAATAGATAATAAGTCCACATAAGTGGCAGGAAGATGAAATACAATGACAAAATAATTTATCTGATTTTTTAATAACCATTAACATGTGGTTACCTATAAACTCCTGACTTGAATTTGTTTTTAATTAAAATCCAAGAAATGCTTCAAAATAAATTCTATATTTGCTTTAAATATATTCTTCCATTTAATTTACTGTGAGGAAGCATTCTAGGATTCAAAGAAAAAATGAATTTGATGAAATACTTCAAGGAGTTTATAATCTAACTAAAAGTGGCAGAAATAAGCAACCAGCAATGCATGACTTATAATTTAATTGAGCCACAAAGACAACGGGCACAGATGTTATTATATAGAGGGTTTATGCATATTTTGTAACAATATTGGATTTCAACAATAATCTCAGGACACAGTTATTGGAATAGGAGTAAAGAGGCTATCATTATAGAAGCATACAGTAGGAAAAGATGAATTCTGCATGTAGAAATTGGGAAGAAAGTGATATTTAAGATTGATTTTGTACAGCTGAAGATGGCCGAGCCAGGTTTCAAGCTTTAGAAGAACTTTCTAAGTCAAGAATGAGGGAGAGAAATTTCCAGGTATTATGACTGGAAGGAAAAAGGCCTACTGTTAGATAACTAGCTATGAAAGCATGTGTGGGAGAGTCAATTGGGAAAGGAATTTGAGCCAGATCCTGAAAGAGTTTGAACTTACTTAATGTGTAGTGGGGAGGAACTGAAGGTCAAATGGGGGAATTATTTTAATAGAGCTGAGAATTGTAAATGTTAAAAAGCTTTAGTCAAACTAGAATTTTCATCATGACATTTTTACTAAAATATCTTACAGATAATAGATATTAGCTACATAAATGAAAAATACACTGTCCCAAATTTATACAAATTATAGCACCAAAAATTAATACATTATGTATTTAACATAATCATTGACTTATCATTAGTATAACCCAAAATGACAAAGTAGCATATTTAACATAAATATCATGTTATTTAAGAAAACAAAAATTGAAAATTGTGAAAAATGTTCCTCAGGGATCAGCATTAAAGCCAAAATTTCAAAATTAGCCACTGAATAAACACTCTGAGCCTAAGTAATCATTTACAAAATAAAGCAGTAGCTGTTTCACAATAATGTTACAAAGTTTAAATAATTAAATAATCTCTCTAAAGTCTTTAGCATAGGGCCTGGTAAATGGAAAAGCTAAATGCTAGCTATCATCATTGGCGCAAGTATGAGAGTGCAAAAGCCAGGAGCTCTCCTTGGTCCTGACTCAATTTCAGGACTATCCCATGAGCTAAAGGAGGAGAATGAAGTCAAAAATAATTTTCAAGTTAGCATGAGACAACTTTTTTAACGTCAGAGGATCCTCTCAATTTGGACAAAAAGATCCATGATTCAAGATTGTATGAAAATAGGTGCATGATAGCAATTTCTCTCTATGTACTTAGATATTTCCATTGTATTGTCCGGATATTGGCGGAAGCTGACTGGTTTGGACAGCACCACCCTTGGAGATAGCAAACAGCAAGATGGCTCATGGCTTTGCACTTCTTGTAGCTTCTATTGCCTGAAATCCTAAGTTTTTAACACATGCGCATGTTTCTATGTTCATCCAAGTGACGATTTTAAAGCATTAACTTGAAATACTTACATTTAAAAGCTGACAAAGGCAGTTTGATTATTTCAGCATTTTTATACTGGTAAAAATTAAATCTGCTTTTGTTGGTAGGAAACAAAAAGAAATATAATCTTTTTAAGAGTACAAACAAATAAAAGGTAAGGGAGTTCTCATTGTTTACAAATAAAATACTCACAAGGTAAGGGAAATACTTATTTCACTAGATATTCAACCTGTACAATATACATTTAAATAGCCACTTTCCTTGGTATCCATCCTTGAAATATCCATTTAAATAGCTTTTGGCTGAGACTACTTGGTTTTTAAAATAGTTCAGTTTTCAGTGCCAAATATTTAGGATCCATTTGCTATATATAAAAAAAAAGAAAAGAAAAAGGTTGGGCAATGTTGTGTTTTTTGAGATACAGTAACATGACAGAAAGTGACAAATGGGTGAATGTGTCACAATGAAGCATGATATATTACTGCGGAGTGATATGCTGATACTCAAAGAATCCATAATATGCATCTTTCTTTTTATTTGCTGCTACAGCAGAGGAGATTATTCTTATAGATTAAAGGACTACTGTCACATTTTAGGTAACAAAGTAAATGTATTTCAATACATTAATATTTCTGTATAAAATTATCATGTGTTTTTTCTGAACAAAGTTCTTTAAATTTCTGGGGAAAAGTTCTTTTTCTGGTTCAGTGCATAACCTGCTGACACACTACTGATCAAATTTCAAAATGAGAAAAAATATGAAAAGGCTCTATTTTATGAGAGGATGAATTAAGGTTTTGGGAGGGGTTTACTTTTCATCATTGCTAAGTTTTGCCATAATTCTAAAGTCAATTTGTGTTACAGAAATTTGAGGTTATTTGAAAAAATCATTTTAGGGAGCAATTTGTAAACTGCAACTTTGTTCTTTGAAATTTAACAAGGTAAAAATCTCATTACCACCATTTCTACTGTATATACATAAAATAACCTATTGTTGGAATAGGAACAATTTATGATTATGAAGAATATTTTATGTTAATATTTTAATCACCATTTATTATTATCACTTCCCTTCTCTCCCTGTAGAAATCTACTTTAGCTAAAATGTAAGATTCTGACCCTCATCTGTGTTTACCATTGGTCCAATTGGAACAAATTATTTTTCTTTCACATATCATCCCCCATGAAAATGTGAAGTTTTCTCATCTCATCTGGACCCAAAATGAATGAAACTTGACACATTTACTTAAAGGAGATGCTTAACTATATCATTACTGTATGAAACAATCTAAGGTTGCTTATGACATTTCACAGTATGTGAAATTCACTATGAATTAAAGTAAAATGAGTTACTAATAAAAGGAAACATAGTTACTTGACCTATTTTTCCTCCTTATATTTGCAATGTAGTGGAGATAAAAATGATGAAGCCAGAATTCATCAGTGTCTCTTTGTTAAGCATTTAATAGCAATCCTTTTCTTATTGAATGTTGACATAATTGGTCATGTGTATTAAGTAGAAGAGCTGTAGAGTATTTGTTAATATGTAACCTTTGGCTAAACAGTTTATTTAAATAGAAAGTATTAACCTGAAATAGAGATGCAGATTTTCACTGAGTTTAGTCTATTTTAAATACAAACTCTTGCATGGCAAAAGTAAAATAAAGAAAAATCATATCTATATTTTAATTTTTTCTACTGAAAATAGAAATACTGATGTTCCCATAAGACTTAATTAGGCAAATAATTTTATGGGTTTTTTTTAGTATCAACTATAATGTTTTGGCTAAAATCTCCAGAATTTTTACTTTATAGTAAAGCTACATTTTAAAATATTACTAAAAATATTAAGACAATGGGTTTGTAAAGCCATATCTCACTTTATGTTCTTACTGCATTTTTTTCCATTAAGTTTATTGGTACATTTTAGGTATACAATACATTTACATTCATAATTAGAATCTTGTACCTTTACATAATGTATCTTGGTTCTTATTTTTTCCCCATTCCCCTGACCTCCCTTCAACCCTTCCACCCTTCCCCATTTACAAAGACTGTTTCCATGTTTTGAAATAGGAAGAAAACCTCATTTTAATATGTATTTCTACAACTAAATTTTCAATAGAAATTACCACACTAAAATTTTAGCTTTCCATGCAAACTCTCATCTGTTTAATTACTCCACTAATTAGAAGAAACAGTGTGACTTTTTTGATAATTGACACATATGAAATGTTACTGCCAGTTTTACTTTGGAAACTCTGCAACAGAAAGTTGATCTCATAGAACTTGAGTGCAGAATATGAGTTACCAGAAACAGGGGAAAGATATGAGGGGTTAGGAATGATATTTTATGGGTATAATGTTATGGTTGGATAGGAGGATTATGCTCTTTTGCTACTTCATGGTAGGGTGACTATTGTCAATAACAATGTATTGAATATTTCAAAATATCTAAAAGAAAAGATTTTCAGTATTCTTATCACAAATAATTTATACATGTTTAAAGTGGATAGGCCAATTATCTTGATTTAACCATTAAAAACTGTACTTATTGCACCCCATAAATATATATAATTATTATGTATGAAATAAAAATGTTTAAGTGCATATTAAAGTAACCTAAAAAAAGGTAATTCTGCTACAGATTCTTAATGTAGAGGCTCAGTTTATGCACATTTTACTCATTCTCAAGTAAAATGATATATTCAATCTCTGATAAATTTGGAAAGCCA